CCTACAGGCCAAGAGTAGAGGCCACACCCCCTCGTAGGTCACCTGACCCTCCCCCAAGTGACCTGGCTCCAGCCGGTCACTCCCTGTGTCCCAATTTACACTCTAGCAACAAGGAACTCCTCGCCCAAAGGGGCTATTTTTGGCCTCTGTGCTCATGTTGTTCCTTCTGCCTGGAATGCCCTTCTCCCCTGTCTGGCTGGCTAACTCCTGCTCATTCTGGAAGGCTCAGTTCCTCCTGGAAGACCTCCCTGACCCCTACCCCAGCCTCCTCCTCAGGGCCTCATAGCATGGCCACTCTACTTGCCTTTACCACAGGGGTGTGTATAGTCTAATTCAGGAGAGTGTCCTGTGATATACTGTGAAGTAATGATGTAAGATGTTCTGTTATGTGACGTGCTGACGCCCATGTTATATTGTTACACTTTTAGCTGGTATGTTACAGGATATATTATGTGATACTATAACCCCCACACTACACTACCTTAAGGCATACAGTGTTTATTTAGTGCCTGCTTCTCCAGTCAGACTGGGTGCCCTTTCATTTTTGTATCCCAGTTTCTGGTGCATAGTAGGCCCCCAAATAATGACACACCATTCCTTCAACTAATATCCACACAGCTGGGGCTGAGTATTCCTAGGCTGAAGGCAGAGACTTCTTTCTGTCTTCATCTCATGGCTACATAGTGGCTGCCACAGCACTGAGCACTTCATCCGTATGTTACATCCAAAGGCAGAACAGGGGCTTTGCTGGAGAGAGCCTTTCTCCTCATCAGTTCAGTCGTCCTGCCCAGACATCCCCTACCTGTCCTAGAAGAAGGGGTGCTCCCTCTGAAAGTGAGAAAGACATCAGGATCTCTCAGTTGGGAGTGCAGCAGGCTCGTGACATGCAGCTAAGTGACATCCCTGGAGCATTGGCCCTGATTGGTGACAGGGTGGTTTTCTTCTCAGTGGGGCTAACCGGTGTCCTAACCTTAACCACAGTGCCAGAACCCCGCCTCCGCGAGCTTGCTCCCTCTTCACCGTGGCTCCGCAAAGTGAGTGCAAATAGCTCCATTTTCAGTTGACGACACTAAGGTTAAAAGAACCTGGGTGACCAGGCTAGGCCACTAGTGACCATGTACCTCTCTGTGCTGTGCTTTATACTTTGCAGAGCCCTCTCATGCCTGTTACTCACTTAACTCCTATAGCAACCTCTGGAGACGCACATTTCTTCCTTCCTTCCTTCCTTCCTTCCTTCCTTCCTTCCTTCCTTCCTTCCTTCCATCCAAGAGGGTGGGGGAGGGGCAGCGACAAGGAAACAGAGGATCTGCAGCGGGCTCTGCGCCCACAGCAGAGAGCATGATGTGGGGCTCAAACTCACCAACCCGCGAGATCATGACTTGAGCCAAAGTCGGATGCCTAACTGACTGAGCCACCCAGACCTCCCCGAGACACATATTTCTAACCATGGCAGCTAGATGGGGAGGCTGGGACCCAGAGGTGAAGTCACCCAGGTCACACAGCTGGGCAGGCCAGGTGGGGTAAGGCAGGCTCCTCAGCCCCATGACACAGGTGCTCCTGAATCTAGACCGTCTCTGTCCTGTGCTGCTCCCAAGGTGCGTATGAGCTGCAGAGAGTGTCTGGCAGTGAAAGGCCCAGGACTGGGAGATGTGGGTCTGAGTCTCAGCCCAGCCACTCATGGGCTTTGTGACCTCAGGGTCTTGCCTTCTCTATGCTCTGCTCCTCCTAAAACACGGATGGAAATGGCCACAGGTGAGCAGGCTTCAAGGAAACAATGGCTGAGAAAGGGCTTTGTCAGCTGGAAATGCTGTGTGGTCAGAGAGGTTCCACGTGCATCAGGGCACTGGGCAGAGGGGCCCCAGTGTCCCCTCCCCACCCAGTGATTTAGAGAATGGATATCAGACTGGGCTGGCCACAGAGGACTTGATTGCATCGCCGCGCAGAGGACACCCCGTCCATCCTGCGCGCACACACACGCACGGGTGTCCCGCTGGGTCTCTAGGCACCGTCTGTCAGGATCAGATGGGGGGCCTCCTACATGGTAGGTTGAGTTCCCATCCAGGTGGGTAGAGGTGTTGCTGAGAATCACCCCACCCAGTCCATGGCAGTGGTGCTCTCCTGCCCCCCACAGCCCCACCTGCACGCACACATGGGACGTGGGTGGGCGGCCAGAATGGTTACTGGCAAAGGTTGGCCCACTTTGGCCCACTCACCCCCTCAGCCTATCCACACAGTGATTCTTACTTGTTCAGTCTCTTGAGTTAACAGGAGCAGTAAAAGATGAAGAAAGCGTGAGGGTCCTGCACATTTGTTTAAGAATAAATACTTTGGAATGTCCACTGTGCGTCAGACATTGTTCTGGGTGCCGGGTCACGTTGGAGAACAAAACAAACAAAGGCCCCACCCCTTGGAGGGCAGGGCTAAATGACACATGGGCCAAGCATAAAAGCTCATAGGGGAGCCCTGGAGGGGCCTTCTTCAGAGCTCACAGCCCTTAATCTGTGCACAGTTCTGACAAGCTGGACTCCCCGGTGTCTCAGATCAGAGCAGCTGAGCAGAAATAACCTATTGAAGTGGTAACCTGGAGCAGGTGCAGGGACAGTGCCCAGAGTCATGGCCAGCGGTCTGATGGTGTGGGAGGAAACAGAAAAACAAAGAGAGCAGTGCCAGAGGCTCAGAAGAGCCAAGAGGCTTGGAGCCGTTTAGTGTCTGGGTAAAGGGTCCCCAAGGCCTCGAGGACCTGTGGAGTCTTCTCTGGCCCGATGTTTCTGGGCTTGACCTTGGGTTGTCAAGAGGAAGCTAAAGTACATCCAGTAACGTCGGGCTGAGAATGCAGGGAAGTGCATCAATTATTAGGAAAGGACCTGTCCAAGCTGTTTTGGCACAGAAAACACGAGGCTTCCTTTCTCTGGGGAAGTCTGCTTCTGTGCAAGAGCTGGTTCTAGGATGTCAGTGCGGGGAGGGCAGGGCTCCGTGTCTGTTTTTCTGTTTGCAGCATCCCCAGTGCCTGAAAGGGAGCCTGGCATGGTCTAAACGCTCCGTAGATGTTTGCCGAAAGAACGGACGAGTGGAAGCCATAGGAAAGGAGGGGTTTCTAGTTGTCCTCCCCAGGATCTAATAGGCAGCTCCTCTGTGCCCAGTACTGGGTGGGACCCTGGCAGTCTGAGGTGGAGACACAGTCCTGCCTTGAGGAGCTAACGGGCCAATGGAAGGGAGACACAGACGCACACACGTGTGCTCTGGCACGTGACTGCCTAGTGCCGAGTGCTTCGCGGGGCTGCCACTGTGCTCTTGAGTCCTCCCTACAACTCCTGCAGTAGATTACTATTATTACCATTTTATAGGTGAAGAAACTGAGGTACAGAGAGGTTAAGGAACGTGCCCAAGGTCACACAGCTGGTAGAATGAGGAAGTCAGGATTCAAACAGAGGCCGTGTGGTGCCACGGCTGGCACATGCAGCCACCGCGCCGTGTTGCCTGTCAGTAGGTGTGCGTGTGCACACGCGTGTGGGTAAAATAATCGTTTCTCTTCCAGTCTCGGCCTTTCCCTTATGCGGCTGGGAGCTACTTTTGTGGTGTCACTGATGGACAGGGTGGCAGTGAGTAAAGAGCCCTGATCAAAGATGTCCCCCACCGTGCCTCCGCAATCTGGCTGTGAGAGGCCCAGGGATGATGAGAAGTGGTAGGGGTGGTGTTTTTCTCACCTTAAAACTGCATTTGCACGCTGTTTTTGTGGAAGTCATTTGATTGTTTGGGCTCTCCAGGGGCTCCATGACCACATGTTATTGCCCCGCTGGTCCTGAAATATCCACAGCTAGACTCCTTCCTGGAGGTCTCCTGGAGAGATACATCGTGATCTTTGCAAAGGCGCGCTGGCCAGCATTTGGGCGTGAATTGGCTTGTCTGCTTGGTTCCCCATCACCCCTGCTGTCAGTTGCAGTAAGGATCAGGGGGGGAGGCACTGAAAGATGCAGGGCAGTGATGGCCAGCGATCCCCAGCTGGGGAAGAAGCAGGTCTGACAGGGATCTGTCAGCACTGCGGTTAGGTGTGTGTGTGTGTGTGTATGTGCATAGCGGGGGTGGGGGTGGGGTGAGGGGCATGGGTCAGGGCCCACCGGGAAGCTGCCAGGGAGCAGGGCCTTCCTCACCTGGCTGGGCCACCTGTCTGCCCAGCTGTCTGCTCCCCTCCAGCCTGAGTGCCTCCCCTAGCTATGGGGCAAGGTCACGGGCTCCTTGAGCTCCTGGGGTCTGGAAGAGCAGTGTGTAGCCGAGTGGAATTGGCTGGACAACATCACAGAATGGGAAGCAGATGGGAAGCTGCAGCAGCTGGGCCTCAGGCCTCTCTCGGGCCAGCTCGACCCTCCCAGTGCTCTGTGCTCTGGGTGGGGTGGGGTGGGGGCCAAGAAAGACAGACAGGCTGATGGACGGGGAGATATAAACAAAGGAGAGGCCAAAAGAAAGTTGGCACAGAGACACATAGGCAAAGCATGGAGAAAGAAAGTGAGAGACTGGCAGCCAGAGAGAGCGGCCTGTAGCCCAAGAAGGCGTCAGCGTGGCGGGGGCCGCGGCTCTCCCTGGCCATCCCCTGCAGGCTCAGTGGGCTCCTTCTGGGTTCTGGCCCTGGCTCTGGGAATGCCAGGCCTCCCACTGCCAGCCACCTTTCCCTTAGGCTCAAAGGACAAAGATGGAGATTTTCTTAGAACCAAGGAAGGTGGCAGCTGGGTGGATGGCTTGGGGACTCACCAGCCCGCTTGCCAGTGAAGAAGCTGAGCTGTCCAGAGGTCAGGGGGTCTGCCTTGCTCTGCTGCATCTTAGCAGCGTGACCCAGGCCGGTCAGGAAACCGGACCGGCCTCCATTTCCTCATCTGCAAAATGGGAGCAGAGATGGCCACCTCCCAGGGAGTGTGTAAGACAGCACATGCAAAGGAGGGCAGCGTGGTGCCCGGCACGAGGCAGTAGATGGTAGCTCTGAGCTCCAATTCACTCACTTCTGGCCTTAGGCCTGGGAGGACAGCGGTGGACAGGACGACGCGACCCCCTCCTTCCCTCGGGAGCTCGCACTCGAGGTATGTGGGGTGAGCGAGGGGATGATGATGGCAATCGTACCAACAATAATTCGTGGCACGGAGAGGTGTGGGAGTCCACATACGGTGCCTCGGGAGTGCAGAGGAGAGGCACGTTTTTCTCAGCCTGCAGTGGAGGTGGGGCCTGGGGGGTGAAGAGACTGGACTCGAGTTAGCCCCGATTATCCTGGACCGGGAGACAGCAGGGACCCAGCCACAAAACCCTGCCCTCCTGGAGTTTATGGTCCAGCCGGCGGGAGTAACTCCAAGTAAAGCTTCAGGGCAGCGTGGGGTGTGTGGACTGTGTTCTCGCAATGCTTGCCCAGCATACCTGGACCCAGTTCTGGGGCTGGTGTCTTAGCACAGGAGGGGGCCCCAGGGTTACCTGCTCTCATCCTCAACGTTGTCTGATGAGGGGGTTCATTATTCCCGGTAGGACAGTTCTTCTGTATGTCACTGACTGACTGAAGTTTGGTCGTCTCCACTGGCCTCAGTCAATGGGGGGCTTAGACTGCTGGACCCACCCATGCTCCCACCTGGGGGGCTGGGGCCCGCAGGGCAGGGGAGCCTCTTAGCTGCCCAGGCAGCTGTCTGCACACTAGCCTAGAGCCCCTGGCCACCTCAGCCGCTCCTCTAGTGAGGAGCGAACACAAGGGGGACCGGGTGAATCAATGGCATGTACCAGCAGCAGTGGTTTTCAGTCTCACCCTGGAGTTACATCGTCAGCTGCCCCAGGGCAGGGACTCTAACCCCGTGCCTGTCACAGAGCTGGCACCCAGTAGGGACTGAGTACATCTTTGATGAGTAAATGAATTCTCCCAATTCATGGTCCCCAGGCGGATTCTCCTGGCCCACAAGGGGCTCTGGCCGTAACTTTGCAAATCTTAGATGGCTGGGACCTCAGAGGGCCCTCCCAGCCCGGACACAGTGGGATCCTTGATTCACACCATGTTCCCGCCCTCAGAAAATAGCAGCCAACTCCAACTGCTCATAAATTTCCTGCCTGTCACCCCTGGCGCCCAGGCCAGGCGGGGCGGGAGGCGCTGGGGGTGGGCTGGTCCATACCTGCTTCCAGTTCCCTGGGAAGTTGGGAGGCCAGAAGCCCAGGCCTGTGCTTGTGCCCAGAATAACCTCAGCACAGCCTGGCCCGTGGAGATGTGAAAACACATCTGCCAAATGCAAAGGTGTACAGGCTGGGGTGTTGGAGAAAACAAACACCCGCAGTTTACACAACATAACTCCACTTTCATAAACTGCTATATAGGTGCCAAGCATACTTAAATAATAAAAATCTTAAAATACAAGTAAACAAATAAACACCCAGACAAACAAAAAAAAATACTATATAGATAGGTCTAAGCATAAAAATATATGGAACAATAAGTCACCCAAGGCTATCAGTGGTTTGCTCCCAGTGGGGAGACTGAGGTGATTGAAGTGTTGTTTCTTCTGTTCACTCTTCTATATTTTCTAGTTTTCCTATAATTAACATGTCCTACCTGTGTAATGTTTTTAAAAACTTAACTGCTTTATTGAGATCATATATAGTTCACCTGTTTAAAGTGTCCACTTCAGGGTCGCGTGGGTGGCTCAGTTGGTTAAGTGTCCCACCCTTGCTTTTGGCTCAGGTCATGATCTCACAGTTGGGAGTTTGAGCCCCACATCAGGCTCTGTGCTGATGGTGCGGAGCCTGCTTGGGATTCTCTCTCTTTCCCTCTCTCTCTGCCCCTCCCCTGCTTTGTGTGCACGCTCGCATGCTCTCTCTCTCTCTCAAAATAAATAAATAAATTTAACAACAGAAAAAATTACTTAAAAAAAAATATGTCCACTTCAGTGGTTTTTAGTATTTTCACACCTATGTGCAGCCATTACCACAATTTTAGAACTTTTGTATCAGGTAAAAAAAAAAAAAAAATACCCTGTATGCTTTAGCTATTTCTTCCAACCCACGGTCTTCGCTGTCCCTCAGTCCTAGCCTACTCTGTGGATTTTCCCATTCTGGACAGTTCGTGTAAATGGAATCCTGTGACACATGGTCTTTGGTGCCTGGCTTCTTTCACTCAGTATACTCTTCTCAGGGTTCATCTATGTTCTGGAAATGTGTTAGAGCTTCATTTCTTTTTGTGGCTGAATAATATTCCCTGGCATGGATACACCACACTTTGGTTATCCATTCATGAGGCAAGAGACATGCCTTATGTGATTTTAGAAGTTGTGTCTACGTTTTTAAAAACAATCCATTGAAAGCAAATTGGTCAAGATGACATAAACTTACTTTGAGACTTTTCAGCCTGTGATGCCTTTTTATGTTTCTAAACACCCATTAGTCAAACTGAGGACCCAGCTTTTTCCAGGAACATGAGCCAGCACCTTCCAGTGTTCCCACTGTGTGCCAAGCCCTGCTTGGGGGGGGGGGGGGGGGGGGGGGGGGGGGGGGGGGGCACCGCTCCATTGTCTCATTGATTCTTGGCAACTGGAAGGTGAGTACTGTTACTAGGTTCACTATAAAGATGAGGAAACTGAGGCATAGAGAGATTAACTCACTTGCCCAGAGCCCCATAGCCTGCTGACTTTGGGGCCAAGGTGAACCCCAATGTTCTGCATTTAGAACCAAACATAGAACCCCCTTTCCAGCCCAAACGTGGGTGTACTTAAAAGTGAAAGAAAAAATAATACCTAATAGCATGGGTCTTGAAAAATACTTTTCCCACGTCCTCTCTGCTTGTCTCTTGTATTTAAAAAAAATTTTTTTTAAATGTTTATTCATTTGAGAGAGAGAGAGAGAGACAGTGCGATCAGGGGTGGGACAGGGAGAGAGGGAGACACAGAGTCCGAAGCAAGCTCCAGGCTCTGAGCCATTAGCACAGGGCCTGACACGGGGCTCGAACTCATGAACTGTGAGATCATGACCTGAGCCAAAGTCGGACGCTCAGCCAACCAACTGAGCCACCCAGGCGCCCCTTGTGTTTTTGTTTTAAACTAACATCTAAAACCTGACTATTCTTTTTAGGACAAACTAATGCAAAAGAAGGGATTTCCGTTCCATTAGATGTCTTTTTCTGCATGTAGAAGGCTGTATCCAAATTGCTAAAATGTAAAAAAAAAAAAAAAAATGTATAATTTAAAAATAATGAAAAATGGTTAAGTAGGTAACATGGACTGAAAATGAATTTAAAAGGTAAAATACCTTAGAAAGCAGACACAGTCATTTTTAAATGCCCCTAAAATGGTAAAATTGCCCTGCAATACACAGAAGTGATCAAAAGAGGAAACCAATCCACCTAAAGCCAGAGACAGACTTGGTAAGCAAAGGACATAGAGTCAGAATAAAAAACTGGAGGTGAACAAAAGCAAAAAATGATGCAGAATTGTTCCAGGATTCACAACAATTACCCCAAGTTTCCATAAAGCATAGGCATATTTTCAACGTTTATTTATTTTTGGGACAGAGAGAGACAGAGCATGAATGGGGGAGGGGCAGAGAGAGAGGGAGACACAGAATCGGAAACAGGCTCCAGGCTCTGAGCCATCAGCCCAGAGCCCGACGCGGGGCTCGAACTCACGGACCGCGAGATCGTGACCTGGCTGAAGTCGGACGCTTAACCGACTGCGCCACCCAGGCGCCCCTATTTTCAAAAATGCGAAGTTACATTTGAAACAGGAAACATACTCCATGGTATATAAAAGCTATGGTGAATAAAATGCCTGTGACTGGAAATATTTATTCACGTGTTCAACAAATATTTATCAAGATGCTAGTATGTGTCCAGACTGTTCTAGGCTCTCGGGCTACGTCAGGGAACAAAACAGACCATGTCCCTGTCCTTGTGGAGCTGATGTTCTGACCACAAATGATGTTCTGACCACAAATGAACAGATTAAAAAAAATGATTTCTAAATGTGATAGACTCAGCCACTTTGCCACTCTGACCAAATCACCTCCATCGGACTCAGCACGTCAGACCGTGGAAAGGGACCTGGGAGGCCATCTTGCCTAGTCGTGTTCAAAGTTTATTTTCACTGCAGAACCTGTTTAAAGGGCATCTTCTGTGGTAAGGGGCTGGGATGTAGGAGACTTCTGTGAGCAGTGAGCCAAGAGCCTTTCCCCTCTGTACCCAGAGCCTTGGCCCAAAGAGGAAACACCACCTATAAATCCCAGAGCTGGATGGGGTTCGGGAGGCCCTCTCAGGCTGTGCTTCTATATGAGGTGACATAGGATGTTGCCACCAGTTTCATGAGAAGGGGTCTGTTGTACGGTTGCCAAAGTTGGGGGTATTTGCCAGCCCTCTCTGTCGCATTTGTAATTATGTGCCTGTAATTAATACACACACACATACACCCTGCCCCTTCTGAAGGGGCATCCATGGGTTTGTCTCCTAACCCCTCAGCCACAGCTGATCTGTGGAGGAAATCTGATTGAGGCTGGACCACTGGCTGCCTCCACTGGGACATTTGAGTTGGGGCACTGAGAGACTGGGCCAGCTGGTAGGCAGGAAGGAAGCAGATACTTGATGTGGCCGAGTGCTGCTTCTGGGAGGCACCTAGAGGGAAGTGCCACAGATTGACTCAGGGTGCAGTTGTGATCACAGGATCATAGGAGTTCAGAAAACAACGAGTAAATAAAGTCTTGTGAATTTCTTCATTGCAGGACTTTTCAGTCCTTTAATACGCTAATATATGTAGTGACTTTCCAAGGTGGGGTCAAGGTCTAAAATGTTTCCCAGACTCCCAGATGGGATAACCTCACCTGCCTAATGTTCGTACCCTTTGGGGGGAGTGCAAATCCATGTGTGTGCTGTACAAGTGAAGGAATTAAGCACAGAGAGGGAGAGTGAGTTCCCCAAAGTCACAAAGCTGGTAAATCACAGAGGAGGTCCTGGCACCCAAGGCCTCCCGGTGTTCTTCCCACCACGCCCCATTTGACATAAGACTTCCGCGTATGGATGATATGTGTGCTGGGATTCCTGTACCGAGGTGGGCGGTGGGAACACAAGTCCAGTGTAGACACCAGGGAAAGGGTGGGAGCAAGAACTGAAGGTCAGGCTTTGGCGAGAAGAACCTGGCTCCCTTGCTCTTGGGTGGTAGTCATGGCTTCCGCAGGGCCTGAGGGCCAGTAGCGAGCCCGGGCAGGGCCCTGGCGCCTTGACCGAGTAGCCAGTGGGACAGCTCCGGCCCGCCTGCCCAGCCAGCTTTCTGCGCCGAACCCCCAGACCGCAGGCCGGCTGGACAGAGAGGAACTCTGGGCCCTTCTCCGCAGGGCCCGCCCAGGCAGCCAGCGACTGGCTGACGCGGGCTGTAAATCACCCCGTGGACCACAGACCCTGTGCCATCCCCACGGGTTTCCTTTCCGCCTCTTAATCCTCCTCCTCAGACTCGGTAACAAAAAGCAGATTCCTGCTGGGGCCAGCCACGCACCGCACTGTGGGCTCGGAGGATGTGAGCCGGGACTCACCCCATCAAGATGCCCCCTCTTCTTTCCTTTCTCCCTTCTCAGCCTCTGTTAGCTAGGGGACGCCCCCTCCTCCTGGCCCAGCTCTCGCCCTCCTCGGACCCTACTTCCAGCCTTACCCCAGCCTCGCACCCTGGCCGCTGGCCAAGCCCGGCGCCCCAGGCCTGCGAGGCTCACCGGGGCCTGTGGTTGGCAGGCCCTCCAGGCTGTGGTTTGGCCCCATCCCGGCTCCCCAAGCCTCCGGTTCAGCAGAAGCAGCTTCTCTGTGGTAGAACAAACATTGTCGATCCGCATTCGAATCCTGATGGCCGCCAGCTTCCAGCGCCCCCTCTCCACCGGCGATGGCTCACCTCTGAGATGAGGGTGCGGAGAAAGCCCCCCTGGCATGGTGGAGGTGCCTGACAGATGTTTTGCTTCAAAAACGAGTACTTAGCTGTTTGTTCAGGATTGTTGCAAGAATCCCAGAGAAGCGGTATTTGGAGCTGCTTTCGTAGGAGTGTGCTGTGCCAGGTTAGGGCACTGCTGTTGCTCTTTGGCGTGTTTGGGTAGACTTGGAGGCCTCGCAGGACCCCCCCCCCCGTACCCCCCACAGTGCTGACCTCCCCCAGAACCTGAAGTCCCAGCAGCCCCTGTGACCTTTCCCTGTCTCCTGTCCCTGGTAGCAAGTCACACCCTGCGGTCAGTTTTCTCATGAGCGACACCAGGTTCAGCTGCCAGAGTGAGGGTTCCAAAGGTCGGGACTGCGAGGCGCGCACGACGGTGCAACCTAGTGGTTTTCAAACTAGGCTCCTGCACACCCTGGGTTCTCAGAGATGTCCCAGGTCTCCCGTTGGAGGGAATGCACCCTGTGACCCCCTCTCCCTGTGTCCTCCCTACCCTGCTACTGCAAACACACCAGACCGTGTTTATCTGTTTTCTGTGTTAGGGTTTCACGGGTTAGACTTCATTTCTGCTGCTTAAAAGAAGTTTGAAAATTATTGACCTGCTCTAGCTGTGTCAGGAGAACACTGAGGCCCAGAGGAGTTAAGTGACTTGTCTCAGGTCACCCACCTGGTGGGGTGGATGGACAGCACCTAGAGGAGGCCCCTGGACTCCTGGTATAGTGCTGTTGTCTGAACAGCGTAGGGAAAAGGGGCTGCGGGTGGTCATTCCTGTGGGGGGTGGGGGGGCAGACCTGACTCACATGCCTCAGAGGTGTGACCCGGAGGACTGTGTTATCAGCATCAGGTGTCCCTGAGCCCTCCTCTAACCCCTGCAGCCCTGCCCATATCCCCAAAGCGGCCAAGTCAGCAATGGCTCTGAAATGCAGAGTGAGGAGTAAGGGGACAGTGTGGGCTCTGGAGGCAGCCAGTTCTGGGTCCAGATGCCAGCTCCATCACTTACTGAACCCCTCAGGATGCAGTCCCCTGCCTGAGCCACACAGGTCCCTCCCGGGGCAGGAGCCAGCAAGGATCAAGAGAGAGGAAGTGCTGGGGTGCCAGCTCCTGGGATCAGCTGGCCTTTAGGAAAGAGTCAGGAGAGTCAAGTTTTTCTGATGGTTGGTTGTTTCTTTCAGGAGTGACTGGCCCCGGTCTAGACCAAGGATGCTTCCGTGGGCCCTCGTTCTGGTCAAGCCCGAGGAGAAGGTGAGCTCTCCAAGTCCAGCCTTGTCTTCTCCAGGATTCCACCAGATGCTCAGACCACTGCCTCTCAGGGTGGGGCAGGGGCACACCTGCCTCCCTCTTGCCCTCCTGTCCCCCCTCAGCCACTCTGGTGACTCTGCACTTTGCCCTCGGCCTGGTGGGGAGGGGAGAACAAAGCCTCCCCCTTGCCCAGGGCCTGAGGCCCCTGTCTGGCTGCAGAAATTCGTTGCCAAAGATTCCACAGAGACACTGAAGAAATGGTGGTGACAAAACCCCACGGCAAAAAGCCACCCCATTGCTCTAGGACTTTTGCTCCTCCTGTTGTCCGAGTTCCATCTCAAGCCAAAGACGAGTCAGCGATCCACAGGAAACTCATGGAAGGGATGGACATTTGGTGACCATTGGAAGCACTCAACCCTCTGACCTGGCACTCTCTTTCTACGCTGGGTCCTGAGCTGGCTGGGTACAAGATAAGCCTTCTGGGGGCTGTGAGAGGGGGCTGGGGGTGCTTATATGGAGTGGGATGTGAGATCCTGGCCCTCTTCTCTCCTTCCCACTGGCTGCCTAGGCCTCTGACCCTGATTGTCAGTGTTCTGGTCCAGGCTTCTTGGGCCCTGAGCATCATGGCAAGGGAGTAAGGGGGAAAAGAAACCAATTTGACCACTCCGTACCCCACCCCAGGGTCTTGTCTCCCAAGGTGACCAGCCTAAAGGGTCTTTGCTCCCCAGCCAGCCCATCCAGCCACTCCTTGCCCATGGCCCACCCTCCTGGCTGGGACAACAAGATGGTGCCCTGCATGAAGGCCAGTGGTCTGTTCCCGGTTATGCAGGGGGTGGGCAGAGGGAAGGAAGGGACCAGGGAAATGGGCCAGTAAGGTGGCGAGGGGCATGTTCAAAGCCAAGGCCTATTCCTTCCTTGTGCTCAAAAGGCCAAAGCTGTTCACATCTGTGCTCAACCATCTGCTTCAAATTGAAGTAAAAGCCCAAACATGTAAAGAAAACACTTGCTCGTGTTGAATGGACTCTGTGGGCGACCAGGACTTTGGCTGGTCAGTTAAGGGGGAGTTGTGGGAGGAGGGGAGAGGCTGGTGTCGGCCTAGAAGTTGAGCATGTGAGTGTGTGTGTGTGTGTGTGTGTGTGTGTCAGGGTGTAGGGAGCCCTCACCATGACCTCAAATCTGGACTAGTGACCAGGAGGCCTGGTCAGAAACATGTGAGGAGCTCTTTCCACTTCATACCTCACTTAATCCATTCCACAAGTTTATGAGGTGGGAACTGTCATTTTAATCCCATTTTACAGATGAAGAAATAAGGCCCCAAGGAGACAGTGATGGATCTGGCCCTCAAATCAGGGTGATCTCACGCCAAATCCTGTGCTCTTACCCCCTTTCTGGCCCCATAGTCCAGTCCCAGCCCAAAGTCTTTGTGTGGCCTTGTCACATCACTTCACCTCAGTGGGCATTTGGGGGTGGGGAAGAGGTCATAAGATAAGAATGGGGAGAGGACTGTCAGGGGCAGGGCTGCCCAGGGAGATGGGAGGTGATGAGGAAAGGAGCTATGCTCCTGCAGGGTGCACATTTGTCCCTTGGTTCAGCCCAGCCACGCCGTCTCTGTCTGCTCCCTCGGATCCTGGACTGGGTCCTGAATGTCTGCAGGTGCAGCTGACTGACAGGAGCCTCCTCCCCCTGCACTAGTGTTTCCCAGGCATGGCCCTTTGCCAAGAACCAGGTTGTTGGACAGGTCCTGGATCTGGGACAGAAGTAGGGGACCCAGACTGCTCAGAGCACTCCTCAGAGCAAAGGTGCCCTGCAAGACAGAATGGGCTTGGGATGGGGGCTACAAGGGGATGGTCACTGGGGTGCCCAGGTGGCTCAGTCGATTGAGCATCCAGCTCTGGATTTCAGCTCAGGTCATGATCTCATGGTGGGGAGATCAAGCTCTGCGTTAGCTGCGTTAGGTTAGGCTCGGCACTGACAGCATGGAGCCTGCTTGGGATTCTCTCTCTCCGCCCCCCTCTCTCTCTCTCACTGCCCCTTTCCACTCTCTCTCAAAATAAACATTAAAAAAAAAAAAACGTTGGTCACCTAGGGCTCCAGGCACAAGTCATATCCCCACTCACTTGTCTCCCTGACTTTCTGAGTATTGCTGGTGACACTTCCTAGGTAAGCAGGAAATGTGGACCAAACAGCATGAAACTTATTGACATAAGAGGACCCTTTCTGTTACTAAAAGGTGGGGAGGTACCCTCATCCTGCTGCCAGGGGACCAGACCCCATGGCCTTACCACCCAAAAACAACCTGTGGCTTCCGCTCCCACCCCTTTCTTATTCCTGGCCTTTGTAACATACTTCCCTTTCGTTCTGAAGCATCTATTGGTCATTAGCTGCATTATCAGACATTAAGCTGGGTGTTCACAATGGAGGAATGGATCTCACACAGCACCTGTCTTCACGGAGCTCATGGACCTGTACAGGCAGATAAGCAAATAATTACGATACAGTCAGATGACTAAGATGTCGTTGGGAATTTCAGGCAATTCCTCCAAAGAGGCCTTGGGAGTTGGGTCTTTAAGGATGAACAGAAGTTTTCTCTGTGCAGAGGAATGGGAGAAGGGCTTTTAGGAATACCTAGCCCTGGCGGGACATTGGAATCACCTAAGGAGATTATGATTATTGATATGAAATATTTATGCCAAAGTCCCATCTCCGGAAATTCCGATGTATTGGTCTGGAGTGTGACTTGGGCATTGGGATTTTTTAATGTTTAATTTTGAGAGAGAGAGAGAGGTAGGGGCAGAGAGAGAGGGAGACACAGAATCCAAAGCAGGCTCCAGGCTCTGAGCTGTCAGCACAGAGCCCAACACAGAGCTTGAACCCATGAACTGTGAGATCATGACCTGAGCCAAAGTCGGTGCTCAACCAACTGAGCCACCCAAGTGTCCCTGGCATTGGGATTTTTAAAAGCTCCCTAAGTGATTCCAAAGTGCTGGCAAGATTGAGAGCTACTGGTTTAAGTGGGCTCAGGTTTCTGACAAAAAAGTGATTTAGAATCACTGATGTGGGATACAGGCCGGGCCAAAAATGTGGATGGGTGGACGTGGGTGTGTGTGTATAGCTCTGTGTGCACATGCGTGCACATATGTGTGTGAACGATTGAAAGTTCATGCTTTTCTTTCTTTTTCCAGCTTCTCCCCCAGTACAGCAGCTTGTGTTTGTGCATACACACACACACACACACACACACACACACACAAATGTACACTCCTTCTTGTGTACACATGCACATCTGTATACACGCTTGCAGATATTCCCAGGGAAGGGAGATCCATTTGAGGTAGATTGAGATTGCCAATTTTCACTGGCAGCCTTTCAGGCCATTTTATGGAAGCAGCCAGGCAAGAAGACCCTCGACAGGATAAAAATTATGAAGAGCCACCCCCCTCACATCCCAGTCCAGCGGAGGGTTTGTGATCACAGAGCCCTGCAGGTTTGTTTGCGGCACAGCCTCCTGCTTTGTTGTTTGCTCTGCGTCCTGAGCCCACGTGCCGGTGATGGCTCATCAATCACCAGCCACAGAGGGACCCAGGGGACCTGCGAGTGACACATATGTCTGTGTGTGTACCTCTGAGTGCCTGCCTGGTTCCTGCAGCATGCATGCTTCCTGCTCTCTGCAGGACACAAACCACAAAGAACTGCTCCAGGACTCGGAGTTCCCAGCTCCACCCAGCTTTATAAAACTTCAAAAACTGTGCACATCAGCTGCACTGCTTCCTGGTTCCGGCCCCACATCATCCCAGAAGAGAGGCTTAAGTTCTGGGGAGGGCGGTCCATGAGTCCCTGGGCCCCTTTCTGGGCTCACAGCTGGGCCAGGGTCCCGGGTGGATTCCGTCTCCCCACACAGTGACTCCTTCCTGTCCCCATCACCATGACTCTGGCCTGAGACATCCTCCTACCCTCCCTCTACCAACCTGAGTCCTCCAAGGGCCCTGGGCTGTCCTTTTTTCTCCGACCCACCCTCACCCCTCTCCCCTTTCTCACCAGCCTTCGAGGAGGAGGGGCAGGTCCCAGGGGCCAGAACAGGTAACAGCATGCAGGGACTGTGCTGGGAGCTGGAGGAACCCACAGAGCCCCTCATGCCCGTGATCCAGGGCGGAGATGTGGGCAAGTGCTGTGCTGTGGTCAGCCATGGTAGGCCAGCTGGGAGGCCGGAGCTGGCACTGCACTTGCCTCCCTCTGTCCATGCTGTTTTCTGAGCAGCAACGTAGTCATCACCAGTAGCCCAGTGACAGTCTGGCCTTCTCAGAGCAAGACTTGGACATCTCCAAGTGTTTCCTTCAAGGGGACTTGTAATGCCATTGTCACTCTGACCTCTTGCTGCCGCCAATCCTGCACAGCTGTGTTCTGTTCCAGGCTCCAGGAGCACAGGGAGGCATGGAGGGGGACCTGCCTGGGAGGTGGGGTGGGGGTGGGGGGCCAGAGGAAGGGCAGCTGGCTTTTCCTTTGCTACCGCGCCCCCCCCCATCCTGGTTCTCACCTTGGCACACTCCTCCCCTCTGATACCCCAGACCCCAGACAAGCTCTGTTTGCCTTCCTGAAGCCGGGCACCCCCAAGGAACTTGTATTTATAAATAACGACCTGGTTTTACAGATATTTGGGCACATGTCTAATCTCCAGATGAGCTATGAATTCCTGGAAGGCAAAGATTGGGTCTAATTCATCTCCAAATCCTCGAAAAGGCCTTGCAAAATGTATATATTGGTTTCTTTGTTAAATGAATAAAAAAGTGGAAAATATGGTGATTCCCGCATTTACTTTCTTCCTTCCACAAATAGCTACCACGCAGCTAATTTGTTCAAGATCCCGAGAGAGTGAGACACAGGCGTTTTCCAAAACCTCAAAGAGGCTCCAAGGGAGAAGGGCCAGAGCAGAGTGGAGCCTGGGCTGTGGGCACTTTTGCTCTTTCTGCAGCTGAGCCTTTTGAGACCCTGCGAAGAGCACAGCTTCAGAGCACACGGGCCAGGCACGGAGGAGGTAAACTGCTGTGGACCGGGTATGGATGAATGAATGAGCGCTGCCACACCCCCTGACCGCCTGCCTCAGACATCACCAATCAGCGGTGGCTCTCCTTCCCGGGCTCTGCGGTCGGAGTTCCTGACCGCGCTCCGGGCAGTCACTGTTAATCAATCGAAGAGATGCGCTCTCTCTGCCTTCCTGGAGCAAGTTTCGGTAGGAACACCCTCAGACCAGCCTGCTGGGTGCACCGCCAGGAAGACCGGACTGAGGCTAGGTTAGAAGGCCCGCCTTCGCTATTGCTCATGGGGCTGTGTGGCGCCCCCTGGCTGTCCTGTCTTTGATCTGTTCCCGGCTGACCCTTCCTCCGCTGTGGCTGATAGTGGTTTATTTCTGAAGTCCCTCCCCTGGGCCCATCTCCGCCGGGGCAAAGTCCAGGTTCCTTAGCTGCCCAACAGATCTGTGGCCAGTGGTCCTCGCTGTCTTCCAGCGTCTCCAACATCCCCCCCAGTCTCTATGACCCCCAGTTTGGCATCCTGGGGTGCTGGCCGAATTCCAGGTTCCTTTTCTCTGGCTGCCCCTGAAACAACATGCTTTCTGAACCCTAGTGTTTGCTGCAGTGGAAACGGTTCCTTTTCAATCTAACTTTCCTCTGCGTCGGATCCACCTAGGCCCCCTGGTTCCTCCCAGAACTGGAGTTCTCCCAGTCCCGAACCTGGGCACCCAGAGGGACGCTGTTTTACCCAACAGCAGTGGCCTAGGTCCTAAGGTTCCTCTCTCCTGTTGAGATATAAATAAAAACATCTCCACCTCCATCCTGTCTTCACAGAAGGCCAGCATCGCTCCAGATCTCTGAGGATTCTCAGGGGCCTTATATCCCCATGGTTATCTCAGCTTTGACTTCTTGGGTCCAGTGAATTCATAATCTCTCTGCCAATTGCCTCCTATGGCTGATGCTGTCTCTCTAACCTACTTCAGCTCAAGGGAACACAGCCACATTTCCTCAATTTCCCCCAAACATCACTCACATATGGCAGTTGTATGTAAAGGAATTATTTTTCTCTTTCTTGATGATTTTTAAAGAAATGTTTACACTCACACAAAAAACAAACAAGGCCTTGCCTTTTTCTTCCCAATTTATTTAGCTGATTTCATATATTTTTGACAGGTTCATCATGTTTCCGGCAGTTATAAATATTTTCCCTTCTGGCTTCACTCCCTGACACTACATTTCTGGGCTGTGACTCACCCTAAGTTGTCCCACAGCTGGGGCTTGAATCCAGCCTTTTTTCTTCAATCTAATATCCCCCTTAACCAACCCCAGGTCCCCACCAAACCCAGGCCAGACAACATGAGACTATAAAATATGATGTCCAGTGGAAAGGTCACGAGCAAATAGGGCGGCTGGCTGGGGCTCTCACCCACCCTCAGCTGAACAGTATCCAAGGTCCTGCTTCTGGGGCAGAGATACATGGGGATGCATGCCCTGGGGCAGCCACATTTCTCCCTTCAGGCTTTCCTGTAAGGGAAGCCTGTCCCTCCTAAAACAGCTGACTGATGACACCACCAGGAACAGGGGACAGGACAAAGCCTGCCCCTCCCCCAGGAAGCAGACAGAGCCCTGAACTTAGCCCTGTGCCAGCCCCATACCCCAAACCACCTTCAAAGCCATCTGGCCCACAGACAACAAGCATTCATCCTCTGGGGTTTCATTTTCAGCTCCACACCAGAAGTTTCTAGAGAATTTCCCTCTTGCAGACACATACATGCATGCAACACACAATTTTTTTTTTTTAAATAAAGAACTCAAAATGTTTCCAAGTTCCAAGAAAGAAATCTCCATTTTTGGGGAAGAAAATAAAACAAAAAGCAAGTTTTTTGGCACACTTTGGGATAGCTATGTTGACCTTTATTTTCTAAATAAAAACCCGGATTTGAAAAAGATTTTGGTGCCTCTTTCAGGTGTGAGAGGCAGCCTAGGAAGCCAAATTTGTAATTTGGGGAAGAGCTCTAAGATGAACAGGACTGGGCCTTCTAAGAACAAAGGGTTCAATGGTCCTCTCCATTGGGAGCCTCAGCATAATATACTCCTCTGAAAAGTCCTGCAGTAGGAAAACATTTAACTTTGAGAAATGAGCGCCTCTTCAACTTAGTTCAGCACTTATTCTCCTTAAAAAAAAATGCTGCGACACCTGGGTAGCTCAGTCAGTTAAGCATCTGACTTCAGCTCAGGTCATGAGCTCACGGTTCGTTCGTGAGTTCAAGCCCTGCATCAGGCTCTGTGCTGACAGCTCAGAGCCTGGAGCCTGCTTCAGATTCTGTGTCTCCCTCCCTCTCTGCCCCTCCCCTGCTGGCGCTCTGTCTCTCTCTCTCTGAAAAATAAACATTAAAAAAATGTTTTTACTGTGGAAAAATGTATGTAGCATAATATTTGTCATTTTAACCATTTTTAGTGTCACAATTCAGTGGCATTAAATATGTGCACAATGTCGTATAACCATCACCACTATATATACCCCAAACTTTGTCCTCACCCCCGTAAAAACCCTTCCCACCTCCCCATGGCCCCTGGTAGCCTCTATTCTACTTTCTGTCTCTATGAATTTGCCTATTCTAGGTAACTCACGTAAGTGAAATTTTGTACCATAATTTGTCCTTCTCTATTAGCTTTAATGCACTAAGCATAATGCTTTTAATAAGGTCTGTTCATGTTATAGCCTGTGTCAGAACTTTATTCCTTTTTGTGGCTGAATAATATTCCATTGTATGTATATGCTACATTTTGCTTATTCATTCTTCTATTGATGGAGCACACTTAATCTTTATTTCATACCCCTGTCTCTCATGGGACACTAAGAGGGTTCCCTGGAGCACAGTTTGAAGACTGCTAGTGTGTGAAGCCACTAGAATGTTTGGATTTTGAATGGGCCAGGATTTTCTTACCCACATGCTTGCCCCAGGCACTGCCGGAAGTGCTCTGGTCAGCTCAGCCTCCAAACTCAAGGCTGGGCTGAAGCCACGAGAGGTGAAGCTGTCTGAGAAGGACCTTGGAGGGGTGCTCAGTGGTCAGTGCTTGGGGAGATGAGGGAGAGCCTTGCCCTCTAACCCTCTCAGGACACATGGCCCTGCTTGTGCTGTGGGGACCCACTGGGATGACTGACAGCTCAGTGTTGGTGACATCTGTCAGGGCTGCCTTCCCGGGCTTTGATGGTAGGACTGGACAGGAGCCAAACTTGAGGGGAGCAGTTGCCTGAGAGGCCCCGGCCCCCTCTTGGCAGCCTCACAGGTGCACCCTGTCCTGTTCCTTCAGGGAGCTGGACGACGTGTTCTGAACCACTGCCCCTCCCCGCCCTTCCCTGTCAGCACTTCCCACGGAGACCGCTTTCTAGCAGGCAGGCAGACCCTCGAGGCTCAATCCCCCTGTAGAGGGTCTTCCGCTGCTCTCTCCTCCCCCACGAGCGGGTCTGGGAAAGGCAAGCGAGGCAGCAGCCAGAGTCGAGCCTCCTGTGACTGGGGGAGAACCTGGTCCCCTCCGGGGACCTGGAGGCCCGGCGTCCAGCTTGGCCGCCTCTCTTGACTACAAGTAGCCAGTGGCTCTGTGACCTCCAAGGTCTCTCAGAGCGATGTCCAACCTGGGTCCCAAACTGCGTGGGTCCTGCCTCTGCGCCGGAGGTCAGGGCTCAGGTTACAACCCCACACACAGGCTCTACCACCACAAGGAGCTGGAAGCCATGCCTCGTTCTTGCTAGAACGGCTGTTATGTCTCCTCCCCAGAGATTATCTTCTAAACCAGAGAACTATTTGAAGGAGCAAAGACCTTGCCAGAGTTGTGAAGCAAAACAAAAAAGCAATGGCATCTTTAGAGAAACTACAAATAAACGAGCGGTCATCCTTCTGATCTGGGTACAGGTCACCTCCTCAGCCCCCAGCCCCGTCCCCTCAACAGAAGGCCCTTTACCCTTTATCCAAACTCCATGTGGCTGGGGCCCCCCAGGACACCTCCCTTCCCCTCACGTCACTGATACTTGGATCTCCTTCCATCTTCCTGGCCCAGATGTGGGCTCCAGGAGGGCAGGGAGGGGGTCCGGCTGTCTCCCTCTGCAGGCCCCGAGGCCTTGCCATACAGCACGGCTGCTCTGGGGTGGGAGGGCTCCTTGGGATTCTTTGCCCTGGTGAGGGGCTGCAGGCTGAGCCCAGAGGGTCCTGCCCATCCCACCCCGGCCTGCGGGCCATCCTGCCAAGCCCAGCAGAGATTCAGGTGAAGGAGAAAATTATCAGGTAAGAGGAGTGTTCTCGGTGTGAAAGGAATGAGAAGCAGGAGCCAGATGGAGCACACAGTGAGGGGAATCGGTGACGTTGAAGCTTCTCCAGCCCAAAGCTGTGCGGAGGATTGGAGTAAAATCGCCTCCCCCACAGGACGAGGTTGGGGGTGTTCACCCTTGCTGGGGCCTGTGAGCACCTGCCTCCTAGGGACTGAGCCCACCTTGAGACCTGCTTTCTCCCAGAGCTCTGGCTCCCTCTCCCACCTGGGCCAGTCTATTCTCAGGGGGTTTTCTTCCTGGCTCACAGAGCCCAGCCCTGCCAGGAGCCAGGCCTCTCTCGGTTCTTCTCTGTCCTCTGAGGGAGCCCATTTTTGCCTCCTGGCTTCTTCTTTCCTCTCCCCAGCCTGGTTTCCTCAGGTGGTGGGTTCAGGGTTCAACAGC